AGAAACATCGATCAGCTGCCTCCTGCACACTCCCTACTGGGGATGTGCCCGCAACCAAGGCACATGCCCTTGACTGGAATCGAACCCTGGACCCTTCAGTCCGTAGGTCAACGCTCTATCTACTGAGCCACACCGGTTAGGGCTGTTCTCACTTTTAAAACTTACATTAATAGAGCTTTAAAATTAAAGCTCATTCACATTTTTTAATACAAAATGTAAGAACTTGATCACATTTAGGTAACATTTACTAGAGATCTTACCTTTATTTTTTTAAGTGAAAAGTACTTTTCTACATTTGACAAATCCAATGTGATTTGTAGAAGGGGAAATTTTGAGCAGCAGTTAGGTTGGGGAACTCCCTTGGTTTCAGAACATGGATTTATTATTTGTTTTGAATTCTTAATATCTATAATATTAGATTCTTTTAAAAATGGATTTGAAGATTTTCCAAAAGAAAAGTTGGGCACTTATTTTTGTTATTTTTGTTCATTTGTATACTTTCATCCTTATAGCTTCCTTAGGCTAAAGTAGAGTTAAAAATAAACGTACATTTTTAAAATTCATCTCTCAATTCTAGTATGCTTAAGTGGCTTGCAGACAAATTTTTCCTATAATTTTAGTATTTGATGTGTAAAAGCATTCTCATGACAAAAATGCAGAAAAGTATTTAAATTGATCCTGAACCTATTTGTATTTTTAATCTTAGCAGCTGCTGGGGGTAGAGGCTCTTGTGTTGGAGTCTATGCTTTGACTTCAGGGGAAGGTACTTGAATAAAAAGCAGCGTAAAGAGGGATAAGGTTGCAGGGAAGAGTGAAAGGAAGAGAAACTTAGTTTTGTTGTGATTTATTCATCTTATCAGCCAAGAAACAATCCTGGGAGTCATTCTTGATAGAACCCTCCTCAGCCCCCTGCCCACCCAATCCATCACCAAATTATCACTTGCACCTCAAACTCTGTTTAGAATCCATCCACTTTCTCCATCCCACAGCTGCACCAAGTCCTCTTGCCTGGACTCCTGGCAAGGCCTTTCTCCCCCTCCCTCAACCCCTTTCTCTACTGGAAGTGGTCATTTGGGCTTACCATTGTGATTGGATATTGTGTTATCATGGCAAATATGACCATGTGTCTGTTCTATTTAAATCCTCTGCAGTTTCCCATTGCACTTAAGATCTCCAGTCTAGCTTCCTCTTGGGCCCCATTCCCATTTATTTAAAAATATATATTTTTTTTTATTGATTTCAGAGAGGAAGGGAAAGGGAGAGAGAGATGGAATCATCAATGATGAGAGAGAATCACTGATTGGCTGCCTTCCAAACGCCCCCTACTGGGGATCAAGCCTGCAACCTGGGCTTGTGCCCATGACCGGATTCGAACCCCAGGACCCTTCAGTCCGAAGGCCGAGGCTCTGTCCACTGAGCCAAACCAGCTAGGGCAGCCCCTTTCCCATTTTAACTTTCAGCTACCCTGGCTTTCTTGTTGTTCCCTCCCTCCCTCCCTCCATATCCCCTCCCCTCCACCCAACACACACACACACACACACACACACACACACACACACACACACACAACACACACACACTTTCCTGCCTTAGAGCTTTGAGGTAGGCATTTTCTCAGCCTTGAAAGGTTTCTGCCCATACTCTCTGACTAATGTCTATTCATTTGTCAGAATTCAGTGTAGCGTCACTTCCTCAGGGAGGCCCTCCCTGGCCTAATCTCAATCAAGCCACCCTGTCATATCTGTGAACAGCACTCGACACACTTGGCTTGGTTTGTAACTATTTTTACATCAGGAGCTATGCCTGTCTGGTCACACTGCAGCCACAGCTCCCAGCCCAGGCATAAAGATGTGTTGTTTGAATGAACTGACCATAGGTGCAGGGTGTCTTAGACATGCCACCTGCCCTGCCAGGAACCTAATTTCTGGCTCCAGACTCAGGAAATGAGAGGTTGGGAGGTGAGGTATGGATAGCATTGAAGGAAGATAGAACATGGTGTGAATTAGAAGAAATGGGTCCTGTCTTAATAGCTTAGGTTTTTAACCGTGGCCATTGCCAGCAATATTATTTGCAAAAATATTAAAATCAGGTTCCTTTAAAACTGATTTTTCATGTATCAGTCACTTATTTGCTGGCTGATGTGACTGTGCCAGTATTTTTAGTTTATATACGACACATATAATATGGATAATGACTCAAGATTCTAATTAAGAAGAGAAAGACTTTCGATTAATAATAAATTTATTATTTTAGTTTTAATAGAGGTCATTTTTTTTCTTTGAAGAAACTTTAAATAGAACTTGCATTGGATCTTCTAGTCTGTACATTTCTTAGAGTCACCGACATTGAATAATAGTATTTTAGAATCAAATGGGCTGAGGAGGTTGAGTCATTATACAGTCTCCGTTTAGAGATGATGAGACAGAAGCATCATGGTTGGTGACTTTCTCAAGGTCATACGTGGATCTCCTGGTGAAGCAAAGCTGGAATCTGACCAGATCGTCTGGATTACAGACCAAAATAGGCCTCATTGCTTTCTGCTCCTGTGTGTGCCTTTAACATAAAGTGAAGCTTCAAGTCAGCAGTTTTTCAGTATTGATGAAATCATTATTGTTCTTTGATCTTTTTTTAAAGACATATCTTACCATTTGCCCTTCAGAGAGCCACATAACCCCGCCTTTGACTGCAACAGAAGCTACTGAGTCAAGGGCCAGACCCAGCTGGTGCTTTGCAAATGCGCTAAGTCAGAGCAGTTGGTTGTTACCCTCAGCTAATGAAAGGGAAATGGGTGTCTGTAAAGGCCTGGTAACTCATTTATAGTGGACTGTAGAATGCTTCTAATAATATGTACTTAAATATGGGTGTGCCTGATGTTTGGCACCTTCGTTTCAAGCCAAATAACAAGTCACACTCAAGAGCCAGGATAGGCCCAGCTGGGAGGCTGCCCTAGTTTCCTGAGCGTGACCTGGCTGAGTTCCCTGCCTCCCTGGCAGAGCAGGCGTTTTCCCCCAGCCTCCCTTCCCCTGCTGGCTTAAAGCTCAAGCTGGGAGCAGAGTATTCAAGTCTGACTGGGTCTCCAGACAAAACACAAAGTGAGAATAAAGAGAAAGAGCCATAGGGCACCCAGGTCTTTCTGATCCCTGGATCTCGAAGAGAGCAAACCTCCCATTCACTCCTCTGTTTTGATGGTGTTTCTAGTGTAACAGTGTCACTTGCTCTAAACAAGAAACAGCTCCTTATAATGCCAGCCTTTCATTTGTCACGTTGTTACCAACACTAATGTCGTGGAGTCAGATAGACCTGGGCCCCATACCAGCTCTGCCGCTTGCGTGCAACTTGTTGCAGGTCCCAGGACCGCTCTGACCCTCGGTTTCCTTTTCGGTAAAATGGGATTGCTGTGATGAGATCAGGGGATTCTCATAGCAGACGCTCAGGAAGTCAGAAGGGGCGTTTTATTAGTATCAGCTAGCTGAATGAATGACCTCAGGCTGTCTCCTCACCCGGAACAGGGGGAGGTTGATCCCACAGGTCTCTCCAGCCCTTCTCAGCAGGGACAGTTCTGAGGGGCCTCACTCCTAGGCATTCTTGAGTCCTGGGACTCTCGTCCCCCGCCCACACAGCCCTTCCATTGGATCCTTTCTCGGCAGCGAATGCCACCGCTCCTCCCCCGCTCCCAACACCCTCTTTGTCCTCTCACTTCTCCTGCCGCCGTGCTAGCCGCCGATTTCGGAGTTCCCAGGGGTAATTCGTGCCCATTGCCCACAGGCTGGCACATTGCCCACAGGCTGGCTCATTGCCCACAGGCTGGCTCATTGCCCACAGGCTGGCTCATTGCCCACAGGCTGGCTC